CTCTCCTGGTGAAAGCAAAAATAGTGGTAATCATATTAGTCAGCTTTAAAGAATGTAAACCTTTTGAAATATGGATCAACAAGTGTTCCAAAATAACAGCTAAACATTTGCTACATTGAAAAAATAAAATAATTTGTCAGAAAAAATGTTCTAGTCCTGTCTTAGGTCTAAAAAGCTGCTCTGTTTCATCACAACTCACTTCACAGGGTTTTTGTTGTGGGGAAAATAGGAGGAGGAAGGAGAATTAAATATGTTTGCTGCCTTGAATTACTTATAAAATAATATTAATAAAATAAAGTATCTTTATTTTTTAAAAAGAAATATGATTTCCCCCCCAATATCTATTAAAAATATGGTGGGCAATGTATATTTTCAGTTGAGGAGTATAGAGTGGAGGCCATAATATCATTCAAAAGACTGTCTTTGGAGTTTGGAGGCTATTTAATAGAATGTTTTTTTTAAAAAAAATTAACAGGGATATTAAGTCTACTGGAAGTTAGGACACAATTTTCTTTCATTTTAGTAACTCATAAATTAGGTTTTGTTGGCCTAAGGATCTTTCATAAAAACAGTATCATAAAATTATATATCAATGGAAAGATAATTTAATCAAGAATGTAATGCAATAGCTTTTATGAAAGATTTGCTATTAGAATAGCAGTTACAGTATAAAGAAGAAAAGTGAAACACACAGAAAAAACGAGATATACAAAAATTATCACCATAGAAAAAATGAGATATAAAAAAATTATCATGTCAGTTAATACTTAGTTGGTAACCTTTAGAATGAATTATGGCCTTACACTGTCTTCCCATGGAATGAACCAAGTCTTTTAGTTCTGCAGCTGTTATAATGTGAAACCAAGATTGAATGATTGCTTCTATTAACTGGGTTTTATTGCTGGGTCGCTTCTGACTAACAAGTTTTTTTAGTCGGCTCCTTAGATTTTCAATTGGGTTAAGGTCTGGGCTATTCCCAGGCCATTCCAGCAGTGGAATATGATTATTTTGAAACTCAAAAAAAAAAGTGGTATTATTAGCCATCAAACCTCAAAAATTCACTTTTCCCAAAGGTTTCCACCATTTTCCACTACTGTAGAGTCAGTGAGTGTTTGCAACAGTTAAAAAGGCTAATGGGATTTTAGGACCTCCTAGCTGTTGACTATATGATTACCACATTATTAATAACATGTGTTAAATCAAACCCATGACAAAAAGTTGTAATGAGGAGAGGGAAAGCTCTGTTTTAAAATCAAAGCTGTTAAGCTCCTCAGCAATGTATGGAGGTGACTATGCTGGAAATCAGCCAAAATAAAACATGCTGGAAATCAGCCAAACAAAAATTGGAGGTATGGAGGGGAATATGCTGGAAATCAGCCAAACAACAGGAGGAGATATGGAGGAGGATATGAATTTTGAGATAAATTTGTGTAATATGAAATATGTAAAATTAAAGGTAAATTGATAAAGTTTGAGATTTAAAGATTTGATGAAGGGGTCTAGAGATTAAGAAATATGGATAGAACTTTGATTTATAAATTGAAATAAAAAATAGAGCTGTAGTTAATTTGAAATTAAGATGTGTGGTGAAAAATTGTAAGGTAAAGTACCTATCTATGACCAAATCGACTTCACTCTTGAAAGAGATATATTTTATGTTTTATGTTGGAAAAAAATAAAAAATATTTTGCAAAAAAAAAAAAAAAGCTCCTCAGCAATGCAAAATATACCCTGAACTACCCCCCCCCCTTTTAAAAAAATGTATTGTTAAAAACTATGGCAGCTAAAGAAAGAGAACTAAAATTAACCCCCTTGTGTTTGTGTAGATTTGTACATTGTAAGTTCACATTCCTCCAATGTTTGTAGGGTTTTGAGAATACTGCTCTAATCCAAACAACTACAAAACAGGTTTGATTAGAACAAAGTGCTTTTTATATTTCTTTAGAGCCATACCAGGCTCCATGGTAAATTTCTTTTGAAGCTAGAAATTTTCCTGTGTAAGTTACAAAATACCTCGGAGGTAAATTATTCTAACTCTTCCGATCATGGATGCTGCTCTCAACAACAACAATCACTCGGGACTAAAAAGTGTAAATAAATAAAACATTGTAAGGTAGGATACCCAATTTTTCCCAGGCATTTGCTCCATTATTCATTCTTTTTGCTAAGCATCCTGATTTCTGAGGGCTAAGAAGAGCTAAGCTACAAATGAGCAAGATGAATGAAATCACCTTTCTGTTGAGCTGTATCATTATGTTTTTGCTGATCCCTTGCAAAGGTTGACCTCTGAAGCTATCAGAATGTTCACCACTGATGGTTTTTTTTTTTTTTTTGTAAAAGACATACATCTTACTTGAACACCAAAAAAAAAAAAAAGAAAAGAAAAGAAAAGAAAAGAAAAGAAAAGAAAAGAAAGAAAGAAAGATGAAGAAGTAGAAGAAGAAGAAGCTAGGAATCCAAGACTGACTTATATTTATATGTGAATCAAACTGTCATTTTTGTTCTCCGAGTGCCTGTTATCACATATGGAGAAGCAATCACTCTCTAAGGTTAGCTTTGTACAACCTTGAATGTTTAGGAAAGTCCTTGAGAGCTAAGCAGCTGCTTTATGTAGTGACAGTTCAGAAATGTAAGAGCACTATTCAGAAAGCTTGGCAGATAGGGCTGCTAATAAACATTTAATTTACAACCCATGCCATTTTTTTTAGCTTAGCCAAGTGCTTCATGCATCCATCTGTTTCTTCTGATTTATTAAAATCCCTATTTAGCTCCTTCTTGCCGTTGGGGATCAGGGGGATGGGAAGGAGGAGAAACCATCAAGGGTGAGACAGTGTGAAGATATGAAATATGTCCAGGTCTGTGAATTCCAGGTTTTTATTATATTCCTTTTTCAGGGGTACAGATTGATTCAGTAAACAGACCAAAAAAAAAAAAAGTTAAGTGGAAGTCTCTCCTTCCAATTTATAGCACCATTGTGAATAAGAAGAAGGAACTCATTATATTTTTGAGCACAGAAGAGATGCAGACAAATTGTTTAATCTGGAGCACTAGGTCAAGATAGGAAGGCCTTCGTGGCATTAAATATATAACAAGCATAGTTTATAATAAAGGGACCGCTGAATAATCATAATTTGCTAGAAGAGCCTGTAGTCTGATGATGCTGATGCAGGTAACAGGTCACCAAATGTTCTTGAAGAAATTTAAGGACTTTTTAAATTTGAGTTTTCTAAAAAAAAAATACTGCACAAACAGATTGAGGGACATTTATCAAATCTTCAGGCAACACAATACTAGGAGTTGCTAATATTCTAGCAGGTAAAGAGAAGATTCAAGTAGATCTAGACCAGCTTGAACAGTGGACCAAAACAAACAGTGTATGTCTCTCTCTCTCTGTGTGTATATGTGTGTGTGTGTTTTCTGAGGTTTTCATGGGTGTTTGTATGTAGGTCTTTGGTTATTCGGGTTTTCTCCCATGTAAAATTGCTCCTAGAAGCACGAAGCCGAAAACACCAGCCTGAGGATGACGAATAGTACCTGGTATATGTGTGTGTGTATGTGTGCATGTATATATATATATATATATATATATATATATATATATGTATGTGTGTGTGTGTGTGTTTGTATGTATGTATGTATGTCTATGTCTATGTCTATGTCTATGTCTATGTCTATGTCTATGTCTATGTCTATGTCTATATACCCTGTTTCCCCCAAAATAAGACATCCCCTGATAATAAGCCCAATCGGGCTTTTGAGCGGATGGCAATAAGGCCAAGCGCTTATTTCAGGGTTCAAAAAAATATAAGACAGGGTCTTATTTTCGGGGAAACACGGATATATGTATATAAATATGTATATGTACATATGTATATGTGTATCTGTATGTGTATATGTATATGTATACGTATATGTATGCATTTCTTTTCTTTTCTTTTCGTAGGCCTTTATGTGTATTTCTCTTTACCCAGGTTCTTCCTACGTAAACCAAGATTTTTATGCAGCCCTAGTTCAGTGAAACCACAATCCACTAGTTTCTAGGATTTTTTCAGGCAGCCAGCAAGCACCCTCCTTCGTCTCCCAATGGGCAGCAGAGTGTTTGCTGGCTGCCAGAAAAAAACCCTAGAAACTAGTGGATTGGGATTTCATTGAACTAGGGCTGCATAAAAATCTTGGTTTACGTAGGAAGAACCTGGCTAAAGAGAAATACATACATACATACATACATACATACATACATACATACATACATACATACAATTTATATTTGCTGATAAAGAAATAAAGGGAAACTAGTATAGATCTATTTCAAGCTATTCAGCTCTCATCAGCTAGCCATACCCTTACTCGGATTCGAACTTGGCTTCGCACCTTTCGCTGTCCCCTAAAGACGTTTTTATTCCAGCAAGCCAGGCTGGCCTAACTCTTTTAAATGGTTTTAATTCTTAAATTGTTTATTTAATTTAATTTATAATTAAATTAATATAATTTAAACATTATAATATAATTTCAACCGTATTTAAATTGTATCTCAAATGATCGTATTTTATTCCGATTTCATTTTAGATCGTATTTTATTCTAATTGCATTTTTAATCGTGCGTTATTCCAATTTCATTTAAATTGTTTTACCAAACTTTTGTAATGATTTGTTTCTGGAACTCTGCACTTTGATATGGCCCAAGGGCTAATCAATCAATCAATAAATAAATAAATTCAAATTGTTTATTATTGGCCTTAATATAGGAGTGTTTGAATTGTGGGCCAAATTAATTTAATTGGATTTTAATACTGTTTTTAAATTTGGTATTTCTTCTGTTTTATCTGTGGGCTGTTCACCGCCCAGAGTCCTTCGGGAGAAGGGCGGTATGTAAATATAAACAAATAATAAATAAATAAATAAATAAATCAGCAAATATAAATTTGGTATAAAATGGTTTGTCGTGAATGCGACTGCTTGAGGGCTCCCAGACTGGAGCTGAAAGGCGAAAGGGAAGCAGTATGCTCCCTCTCATATTGGGGCGGCATATTATTTACAATAGCACATGGTGGGATGAGCATCTTTCAGAAGAAAATGTTGAGTTCCTTAAGAAACTTTCAACAGAAGAATATAAAGCTCAAACTGCTAGTAAACTTTGTCCTCTGAAAGATGAGCCTTGGCCTCTGCACTCATGGGAGCCAGGTTGGTATACAATAAATTCAAGGATAAAGTAAAGGGTTATTCTGGATATATCTGATTGGATCAGGGGTGAAATGCTCCCGGTTTGGACCGGATTGCCCGATCCGATAGCAATGGTGGCAGGTGGTTCAGAGAACCGGTAGCAAAAATCCCTGTGCCCCCCCTCCCCCATGCCCAGCTGAGCCGCACGATCATCAGAGGCTTTTTTTAAAAAACTTTTCAAAGCATTTTTTCTACAACTCTTCCGACGAAAAAATGCTTTTAAAAGTTAAAAAAAAAAAAGCCTCTGATGATCGTGCGACTCAGCTGGGATTGTCAGAGGCTTTTCAAAGCATTTTTTTCTGCAACCTCTTGGCTGAAGAGATGGTAAAAAAAATGCTTTGAAAAGTCTCTGACGATCCCAGCTGAGTTGCCTGATCGTCAGAGAGGCTTTTCAAAGCATTAGAAAAAATGCTTTGAAAAGTTTTTTTTTTAAAAAAGTTGGCCATGCCCACCCAGTCACCCCCCCCCCAAGCCATGCCCACTGAACCGGTAGTAACAAATTCTACATTTTACCCCTAGATTGGATATATATATAATTCCTTAATTAAAAAGGAGCCGAGGTGGTGCAGTGGTTAGAGTGCAGTACTGCAGCTACTTCAGTTGACTGCTAGTTCAGCAGATCAGTGGATCAAATCTCACCGGCTCAAGGTTGACTCAGCCTTCCATCCTTCCGACGTGGGTAAAATGAGGACCCAGATTGTTGGGGGCAATATGCTATTTAGTATACTATCTTTGGTGTAAGCCCAGAGTCCTCGGAGAGTGGGCGGCATAGAAATATGAATAATAATAATAAAAAAAACATATTTCAAATCAATGAATTAGGTCTACTAAAATTGCATCTTATGATTCTTTTACTTTCACTTTAGTAAGTTTATATATTTTACAGTAATCTGTGAAAGTCTATGCCAATTATTGGCAAGTCAAATAACAGTTATTTCAACAAGTCCAACTCTGGGGAATTCTTATGCATATCTCCATTATAATAAACTCATTTGCTGCCTGATTCTCAAAGTCATTACAGTACAGAAAGAAATTACAATAAAATCAATAAAACATTAAAGACAAAAGATAGTGAACTGCAACAGACTAGATGGAAGGAAGCCAGAAGTATCACTTTCCCTCACCAAAGATTGGGTAAAGAGCCATACCTTTATGCCTCTTTTAAACAATAGCAGTGTGGGGGCCATCTGGCTCTCATTGCAGATGGCAGATACTGCGACCAAGAAGAGGCACTTCCAAGATCCTGACAGATGATATTGCTTAATTTTAAGAAACCTGGTTTGTGCTAACCCTGCAGGACGAAATAAACTGGACAAGTATAGTAGTCCCTCAAGTAACCTGGCCCTTATTCCATAGTGAGGTGCAAATGCCAGTTATATCCATAGGATTAATACACTGCCTAGACCCGTGATGGTGAACCTGTGGCATATCAGTGGGCACGCGAGCTCAGCTCTGGCGCACGCAGCTGATTTTTGGGCCTTCTGGGCCCACCAGAAGTAGGGAAACAGGCTGTTTCCTGTCTCCAGAGGGCCTGGGGGGGGGAAAGGCCCCCGTTTTTCTCTCTCACCTGGCTCCAGAGCCTCTCTAGGTCTGAGGAGGGCCCTCCCCAGAGGCCCCCTGGAGGCCAGAAATGGCCCGTTTCCCAACTTACGGTTGGACAGGAAGTGACTTTTTTGCTGTCCCCAGCCCCTAGTCTCTGGAGGCTGGGGACAGCAAAAAAGTCATTTCCTGTCCAACCGGAAGTTGGGAAATGGGCCGTTTCTGGCCTCGGGGGGGAGTGGGGAAGGCCGTTTTCACCCTCCCCAGACTCAATAGAGAGGCTCTGGAGCTAGGTGAGAGAGAAAAACAGGCCTCCCGGGCCATCACATGCCAGGAGTGGAGGTGTGTGTGTGTGTCACGCACGCGTGCATGGGGGCAGGGTGCATAGAATTATGGGTGTGGGCATGCCCGTGCACGAGCCCCCCCATACCCCGCCTCCTGGAATGCAATGGCAAAAAGGTTAGCCATCATTGGCCTGTAGTTCACACTACAATGGGAGGGATATAGTTTTGTTAAATGTATAGTAAAGGATGGCAGTGCAGTTATAACACAGCAACATCGCATGGTACTTGTTGCCCCTATATGTTTAAAAACATTAGACATTAAAATAGCTGACATTACTTGTTTTCATAACATGTCCAGTGTAATTTAATCTAAATGTTATCTATCAAATAGTAGTAGCTGCCACTTGAATGTTGATTGTGTTGCAAGATGCTGTTTGTAGGATCTGTACATGCTGTGAATTAATTTAAGAATTAATCTGTCATGACTTTCTGAACTCCATTAGGCTTGAAATTTAAGAAAGGATTGTTTCATTCTTTTATTCACAGGTTCTAAAAGAGTTGGTATTATTGCAGTAAAGTTGGGAATGATGCCATTATGGACTAAGCAGGGTAAAAAAATACCTGTCACAATGCTTCAGGTAAGGCAGAGAATACATAATAATAATATTTAATTTGTTATGTATTGCACTTCACATAAAAATTTCAATACAAAAAAAACCTTAGTCCAGGTGGAAAAAAATAAATTCAGAAAGAGAACTTTGATAAGCAATCAATAAAAGTACAATCATGATAAAGTTTAAGATATTAAGATTTGAGGGAAAGGGTCAAGAGACTAAGAAATATAGATAGAACTTTGCTTTATAAAGTGTAATAAAAATGGAGTTGTATTGAATTTGAAATTAAGATTTGTGGTGATAAAATTGTAAGGTAAATAATTAGAATAGGAGGTTAGAATATTGTTAAAAATCATTTTGACATTGATGGTAAAAGATATAACAAAGACAATGTGGAGAAGAACCAGATATAATCAGGATTGATATATAGATATAAAAATGAGCTAAATTTAATTTGAAATTAAAATTGTATTGATATAATGGACTTGTTTAGATGAAGATGTTAGAATCTATGTTAAAATTTGTTTTTTTTATGTTTTGAATTTTTACTTTTAAAAGATGTAATGGGAAATTGTGAATGGAGCTTGTTAAAGGAATGTAAGCGTGGTAACTATCTATGACCAGATCGAGACTCTGTTCTTGAAAGTTATATTTTATGTTTATGTTTGAAAAAAATAAAAAAATATTTACAAAAAAAATAAAATAAAAGTACAATCAATAAAATGATAATAGTGTAATAATTCTTACCCACCCAGATAAAGCAGGATTTTTAGAGTAGGGCGTGGCTGGATTTGTTTCAAAGCTGAAATGCTGGTGATGTTTGTTCACAGTGTGCTAGTGTATGCTGCCTCATAATTCCAACTTGGTCTACATCTTAGAAGCACTACCATGTTCATGAATTTTCCAAAAAGAAAACAATCAACGTCATCTCTGAAGTGGGATTTATATTATACTGTTTTTAAACAAACCAAGCATTCCCCCAACATTAATTCTTTCAGATTCTAGTTTGCAAAGAGAGTTACAAAACCTAAGGTTGTAGAATCTAATAATAGGCCATCTTTGTCTTCCAGAAGGCTATTAAAGCCTGATTTTCCTCTCAGGCATTTGGTCTAGTGCTTAAGGGACTAGGCTAGATAGCAGGAGATCATCAGCTCAAGTCCTGCTCTAGCCTTTGGGTGATCAGGCCAGTCTTAGCCCAACAGGGTTGTTGTTGTGGGTAAAATAGAAGGAGGAAGTCTGTTGGATATGTTTGCCACCTTCAGTTATTTGCAAAGATAATAAAGCTGGAATATAAATAAATAAATAATAAATGTGTATCTGTTTTCCTGGAAACGCTGTATAGTGCCTCAGTTTTCTTTATTTCTTTTTATTGGATTATTTTAATTGACTGAAGAGTTTTTATGTTGATTTTACAATTGTTTGCTGTCCAAAGTTATGCATTTAATATAACAGTCATATAACTAAATAAAGTTGTGCACACATAAACATACCAGAATAGAATCTCACATCTTATTATCTAGAATTAGATGTAAAATAGATTGTTGAAGCCAAAAACAGTTTGAAAGTTTAGAACTAAAGCTAATTGTCTTTTTCCTCAACTAATATGTGATAAACCTGAATAATTTTTTGTAGGTTCAAGACTGCCATGTTATTAAATACACACCCAAAGAAGAATTTGATGGGAAAACTCCCAGTCTAACTGTTGGAGGGAAAAATGTGTCTGAATTCCATGTAAGTCTGATTTATTTTTCTTTTTGGAGTGGGACAACAATTTTTATTGCATTATCCAAAGGAATGCTTTTTAGAAAGAAGATGTCTTAATAATTTAAAAGACTGTCTTTTTTTGGTCTTTTTTAAGGAAACTTTCTGGTTTTGTCATAATTTCTTGAAGATGATCTTATACCAATACATTTTTTCACGGAACATTTATGAAGCTAAGATGTTTGCTTTTGTGTTCTAGTGCCTTTAGTGTTTTGTTTATTTTGACTAATGATTAAACATAGTATAAACTATAATTCATAAATGATGCCATATTGGGCTATGCAGGAAAGTTTTAGTCATTCATTTTACAGTCTTTTTACATGCATATATAATTGTGTGCTATAGATAGTCGTCAAAATGTCTGCTTCAGTTATTTGCTAAGTGAAAAGAAGCTAACACAACTCCTACATGGTACAAAATTAAACATCTTTCTGTAATTGCGAGTGTGTAATTATTGTTTATGTGCAGTTTTCTATAAATTCAAAATAAGAAAACATGACAAAAACAAGACAAAAGTTTGGACAGCTTGCAATTAGTGTTTTCACATCTCAGAAATAACTGTATAGTTGTTTCCTATAACCAGCTACTAATATTTTTATTCATTCTTATCGATTATTACCCATCCTTTTTTATAGACCACTTCTAGCTCAGAAAACATACATGTAATGCATGCTTGAGATCTCCAGATTTTCAGTAATACTCAAATCTGGAGAATGTGAAGTCCATTCCAAATTTTTACTTTTATAGCTAGTCCTCATTGAACAACCACTCATCTAGGGACCATTCAATGTTACTATAACACTGAACATTGATGATGGATCTTTGTGGTTGCAGCCATAGTAGCCCTTGTCACTTGATCATGCTTTGGGTGCTTGACAGCTAGTTTAATTATAATGATCACAGAATCCCACAGTCATGTGATCGCTTGTTAGAAGCTAGCAGTAAAGGACACAAATGGCAAAGGCAATGGGAAAGGTGGTAGGCAGTCACAAATGGTGATTATGTGACTACAGTAGTACAGAATTTGCCTAAAAGGCAACTGGGATTGCCTCAGCTGTTTGTTGTAAGTTAGCAGGATCACATGACATTGCATTTTACAATCCCAGTGACTATCATTAAGAGCTACATACATGTACTTCATGATCGATTTGGAGCTTTTTTAGCTTGCTGCTTTGGTGAAACGGTCAACCACAATTTGTCTGTGTGTGGTTTCTTATCTGACTAGAGGATATTAACTTTTAGGGTATATTGATATTTAATTGAAATCATTCTTCCTACCTCCTGTATCGTATTTTGTACCATATATAGATAGTTCTCAAGTTATGACCATAATGAAGACTGCATATCATGATTCTAAATTGGGTCGTCCACATGACCAATCTAATTTCATGATCCTTTTTGTAGCTGTGATTATGTAAATGCTTTCATTGTTAAGCAAATTATTTTTTTCTGTGGACCAATTCTGTCAAAAACCAGAAGTAAATGCTAGGAAAACCATTGTAAAACACAATCATGTAACCACAGGATGCTCAAATGGCTATAAATGTCAACTGCGGAGCACCCAAAGGTTAGTCAAGTGACTGCAGAACTTTGAATCTGGTTCATAAGTATCCCCAGATAGGTCCATTATACCTACTAAGCGACAGTTTATAAATTGAGAATTACCTACAGTTTATGTTTATTTAGGGATTTGTTGAAACACAAAATTTGACCATGGCCTACATCGAACTGTGTGTAGGTGTGAACTCCAAGGCGTTCCTTTGTGTACCAATATTCTCCTGCTTTTTTAAATTTAATTGGTTAACACAGTTTATAACAATGAAACAAATGTCTGTAATTCCACCTATCATTTAGTGAAGCAGAGATTGGTAACCTCCCTTCATATACTAAAAGAAATATGTTTTTGAGAACAAATTAGAATAAAATATAATTGGTATATTGCCAATGAGTTAGAAAAACACTTCTGATTTCCATTCTACAACCAATATTTCAGTGCTTCTTTAGTATATTATCACCGACCTAATATCTGATTTTACACTATTTTTAACATTGATGTTTTTATATATTACTTTAATTGTGCATTAAATAGAATCAATTTTCAAATGGCGTGAAGTAGTGTACATTTTGTTTTCTGACAGGAATCTGAAATACCCCATCTGCGCATTTTACATCAAACAAATATATGGAATTAAAGGGTTTTTTTAGAGAAAGAGACAGAAAAAAGTATGAAAGGAAATTATGGAAGAACAGAATTATGAGGCTAGCTGGCCAATTTGTACTTTTAATCATTCTTTGACCTAATAATCTCTTGCATATATTTTCCTGGATTAAATCATGCTATTCCAAATTTACAGATCACAATGACTTGATTTGCCAATATATTAGGCCAGAAATAAGTCTTGATTACAGTGAAGTTTAATCAAAAGTATGGATACTCTTAATGTCAGAAAATTTTCTGAGAAAATTATTTAAATTATTTTAGCTTGCTGGCTGCCTGAAAAAAGCCTAGAAACTAGTGGATTGTGATTTCACTGAACTAGGGCTGCATAAAAATCTTGGTTTACGTAGGAAGAACCTGGGTAAAGAGAAATACATATGTATGTATGTACCTACCTATCTACATAAGTATGTGTATGTATGTATGTATGTATGTATGTATGTATGTATGTATGTAAATAAACTACCATAAAATAGATGAGATTAACCTTGCAGAGATACATGTGAAAAGCATCTAGGTATTCTAATTATCTAGTATCAGAAGTTATACATCACACAACAAGGTGATGCTATTGCTAACAAAAATAAATACTATCTTGAGACAGGATCATAGATTCAAGATCAAGAGAAATAATTGTTGCATTCTACTCTGACTACTTTAGAGCCCACTTGAAATATTGTATCAGTTTTGGAAATTACAATTTATAAAGAACATTGATAAATTGGAGTGAGTTCAGAAGAAGGCTATGAGTATGTTAGGAAAGAAACAGACTCAGACTCAACCCATCCAAGACTGAGTGGCTGTGGATGCCGGCATCTCGTGATCTAGTGGTCCCATCACTTGTGATAGGAGGGGAAGTACTCACTCCCTCAGAGAGGGTTCGCAATCTGGGTGTCCTCCTGGATTCACGGCTATCTTTAGAAGATCATCTGATGGCCGTGACCATGGGGGCCTTCGCACAAGTACGTCTGGTGCACCAGTTGCGCTCTTTCCTAGACCGGGATGCCCTTGCCACGGTCACTCACGCCCTTGTTACGTCTCGGTTAGACTACTGTAACGCCCTCTACATGGGGCTGCCCTTGGGATGCACCCGGAGGCTACAGCTAGTCCAGGATGCGGCTGCGCAGGTTGTTACGGGGGCTTCTCGTTACTCCCATGTGACACCTCTCCTGCGCGAACTGCACTGGCAGCCGGTGGTCCTTCGGGTCTGTTTCAAGGTGCTGGTGCTCATCTATAAAGCCCTACATGGCTTAGGCCCAGGGTACTTGCAGGATCTCCTGCCATCCTCCCATCGTCCCATGCGCTCCCACAGAGCGGGCCTCCTCAGGGTGCCGTCAGCCAGACAATGTCGGCTGGCGGCCCCCAGGGGGAGAACATTCTCTGTGGGAGCGCCGACCTTCTGGAACAGTTTGCCCACCGGGCTTAGGACAGCCCCGACCTCCTCTCCTTCCGCCGTGAACTGAAGATGTGGCTCTTTCATCAAATGGGCTGATCCGTTGGGGGATTTTTACATTGAAATAATTTTAATAAATTTTAATTGGATTTTAATTTTTATGTAATTTTTGAATTGTTGAATGTTTTCTTTGTAAACTGCCCTGAGTCCTTCAGGAGAAGGGTGGCATATAAATTACATAAATAGATAAATAAATAATAATAATAATGTTGAGTAGACTGAAAACCAAGTCCTATGAGGAATGATTAAAGGAAGTGTGTTTAAAGAGAAGATTGTTGAGAAATATGGTTCCTATATAGAAAAAGGAGTGGATTTGTCCGTCTGAAGGCTGAAACTACAGCAAAATAGATTCAGATTAGTGATTAGAAGGAGTTTCTTGACAGTAGGTAAGAACTGTCAGCCAGAAGAATAGGTTGCCTTTTGAAGTTGAAGAGATTTCTTTCCTTCATTGGAGATTTCCAAACAAAGTCTATCTGAAATGCTTTAGCAGATCAAGCAGGGGTTAGACCATATAAATTCTGAAGCCCACTTCATTATTGTATAATATTCTCAAATCATTTCAACCACTGTTGTCAAGTTGTACAATTTTTGGGATCCTCCTTTTATCCTATGAAGTTAGAAAAACGCTGTCTTCAGTTGTTTGATAATTAATCTATGATGTATTGTTCAAAAATAATTCACAATTTGTTAGATAGTCTCAGATCATATTTCTATCAGACTCAGGTTTGTTGCTTCACAATTGTCTGCTAGAATATCTACCACTCATTTGGAGAATAAGCCAAAGTAAATTTGAATAGCTCTACATTTTCTTTGTTATCAATTAACCTCTTGTTGTCCTCATTATTTTCAATATCTTTAAAGAAGCCATTTCCTTTATTCTTATCATCCTTTCCCGTCCTTTCCCATCTTCAGCTTACTTTGAGTTTTAACAATTCATTTCAATAGTTCCAGGCTGTCTATATTAGTCTTCCTGTTGAACTGTTCCATTTTCTTCCTTAAATAGGTCTCTTTCTTTCCCTCTCTCTGATTTCATAACTTCATTAAAGAATTTGTTTAATCATTGACTTGTTCTAATGTATTCAATTATTTTTGTTAGTTAAGTTCGTTTGCAGTCATACTTTTAGTAATTGGCTTAAAAATACATAATTTTGCCCATTGAAGTTGTCTAGTATTAATTAATACTAATATTAAGTCAAGGTCTATCTATCTAGCACCCATCTCTCCCTTATGATTTATTGATTATTTCATACTAACTAGGAATAGTTATTTGTGACTATCATTGACTATCATTAAGTGTTG